AACTCTTTATCATGGAAAATTGAAATACATTGAGGAATACTGAATACATTAATTTTTTACATCTTAATAAAGTAATATATAATAAAGAGAAAGGTGAAAATGGAGTATCTTAACCTCATGTTAATAACATGAGGTTAATATACTCCGAGGTAAATACCAGCTTTTTTTTACAGATATGTAACCACTTGTGTTCCTTTGCAAATATGCTTATATTGGGCAAGAATAAATATTAGATGAAGATTAGAAACACAATACAGCATTTTAACTTGCAAAGCTCTTGAAGGCTAGAGAGTGATGAGCATCATTTTGGAATTAGTATGCATGCCATTTTATCATATATTTTAAGATGTAAGATTTTTACACTAAAATTCATATGCCATGTAACTGGTATCCAACATAGATGGTAGTCTAAAATATAACAACCTAAAATATAATACATAATATACTATAATATAATGTATTGTTTTAATTAGTATAATAAAAATAAGAGAACTTCAAAAATAATCTAAAAATAAATGAAAAACAAACATAAATACATTTGTTGGAATCATTGATTTAATTTTATTTTTTTGGCTAGTTTATTTGTGTGTGTATGTGTGTGCATTTGTGTGTGCCAGTCTTGAGGCTTGAACGCTGAACCTTGGTACTTTCCCTTGAACTGATATGATCCACTAACACCCAGCTTTTAACTTAAAGTAGTTAATGTAAAACATTTTAAAAGTATAATATATTGACAACCATCCTAAGCATAAGTTTACCAACTTCATAATAATTCCAGAAAGTTGCATAAATCTAGTTGATTTTTGAGTGACCAAAATACTCTAATTATTACATTTAATAATTCTATTATTTATTGACTCATTATGACAGATGCATTACATCTTTCCAATACATTGATGATATATTATAGAAGAGAAAGTGTGATTAATACCATGACATATCCTTCATGTTTTATACTTACCATAGAATAATGAAGAGAACGGAATTTAAAAGTTGATTTGGGATGACTTCTCAGCAGAAGGGATGTGTGCCCAGCAGAAAAGTAACTGTTTTTGTGGTTGGTGATTTGCATATGTGAATGACTTTATGTGAATTTTCTTGCATATGTGAATGACTTCATGTGAATTCTTCCTGGGGACCTCCTTCGCCGCATTTTTAACTCTGGGTTTCTTCTCTAATCTTTTAAATAACTTCACTATATTTAAGTAGTTGTACAAAGGACTTGCCATGCAAATGCACAGTTTATGAATAGTGTCTCTCCTCTTCCGCCCCTCCCACCCCACATCACTTTGCTTAACCTTTAGGCTTGAATTTCTGCCATTTAACAAAGTAGTTTATGTATGCAATGTATCTTGACCTGTGTCATCCCTTCAAGATCTTCACCCCCTCCCTTCAGCCAACCCTTTCCCTTATTTTTCTCAATTCTGTGGTATATACAATGCATTTTTGACTGCATACTACAACCTTTCCCCCTTCATTTCTCCATCCCTCTCTCATTGCTCTCCCTGATTACTTACTTTTTGGGGATTTCACTTAATCTTTCTAGAGAATTATACTATGTGCACTCTGCATAGTCTATTCTACTTCAGTTAATTCATTTATAACTGCTTTCATACTACCCAGTGTGTTTACTTACTGATTTATAGATACAATCTAGGTACCACAAATGAGGGAACCATGCAATCTTTGTTTCTCTGGGTTTGGCTTACGCTATTATTATTTTTTCCAAGACTTTCCATTTCCTTACAAATGGTACAATATTATTCTTTCTGATGGATGGGTAGAATTCCATTGTGTATATACACACTACATTCTTCAATATAATAAAGGCTATATATGACAAATATACAACCAACATTATAGTTAATAGTGAAAAATATAAAGTCATTCTCCCTAAAATCAGAAACAAGACAAGGGTGTCTTGTCTTCAATATACTATTGGAAATCTAACAAGAACAATAAAGTAAGAGAAAAATGTAAAGGGTATCCAAATAGAGAAAGAAGAAGTAAAACTATCCTTTTTGGCAGATGACATGATTCTGTATTTAAAGGACCCTATAGACTCCTCCCCAAGCTACTAGAGTTGATCACAAAGTTTGGCAAAGTAACAGGCTATAAAATTAACCCACTAAAAATCAGTACAGTAGCTTTTCTGTATGCCAACAATGAGATCAACACTGAAAGCAACCCCATTTATAGTAGCATCAAAAACTAAAAGAAAAGAAAGACAGAAAAACTAGGAATTGACAGCCAAAGATATAAAGGACATGTGTTCAGAAAACTTTACAAATTTGAAAAAGGAAATTGAAGAAGATTTAAAGAAATGGAAAGACTTTCCATGCTCCTGGATTAGAAGAATTAGCATCATGAAAATGACAATACTGCCCCCGCCAATTTACACATTCAATGCAATACCCATCAAAATCCCAAAAACATTCATTATGAGATAGAGAAAGCAATCCAAAAATTACTATGAAATAAAAAAGAAAGATTCTGATAGGAAGAGAAATCTTTAGCAGGCAGAACAGTGTTGGAAAGATAATAACAACAAATTTCATCTCTGGGTTTCTTTTTTTATTAATAAGTTTTTTTATTGTGAAAATACTGTACAGAGGGGTTACAATTACATGAGCAAGGAAATGAGTACATTTCTTACCAAGCATTTTTGCCTCCTCCTTTGTTTCCCCTTACCATCCCTGATTTCCAATCTGCCCCCTCACTCCCCCCCCCCCACTTACCCCCACCCTCACTCCCCCCCACCCCCCACCCCACCCCCCACCCCCCGCCAAAACTGTAAGACCCAGAAACACAACAAATCAAAGAAAGGTTGGACAGATGGGATCGCATGAAGTTGCAGAGCTTCTGCATGGCAAAGGACATAGCTAGCAAGATCAATAGAAAGCCCACGGATTGGGAGAAGATCTTCACTAGCCATACAACAGACAAGGGTCTCATATCTAAAATATACCTGGAACTTAAAAAATTAAATCTCCCAACAACAAATCCTCAATGAAAATGCTCATAATTTGCCACTCAGTGGGGAAAAATCTGTAAATGCTTGCTGAATGCTCCACTGAAAGGTGACATCTGTTCCTGCCCACACAACCAAGATATAGGCTGGGACAAATGTTTGGGGGTAACACATTTTTATAGGCAAATACCACAGTCCTATCTATGGACGGTAAGAATAAATCAGAATGTTCCATGTTTTTCAAGTTTAACCAATATTATAATAAATTAAGTAGAGATCTGTCATAAAACATTAGAACTTATTGCAAAGGAGTGATTTTTTTTTAAATTTTATTGTCAAGATGATGTATAGAGGGGTTACAGTTACAGATGTAAGGTAGCAAGTACATTTCTTGTCAAACTCGTTTTTAATTATGTCATCATTTATCCAGCAAATCCAAAAGTATTAATTGAAAAAAATCTCATATAAAATAAAGGAGTTAAGTGAAATATTTCAATATTAAACTTTCTTGAATACTCCACAGTTATTTGGAAAATATAATGCAGAAAGTACATATTTTATTTACTTAACCCAAATAGCAAACATAGTCACAAATAAGAATGTTAATATCTATACAATGGAAAAAAATAAAGAAAAACAAACACTGAAAGATTAAAAGGATTTAAACATAGATATTTCATGATTTCTAATAGGTTCATTGTGTTCAGGATAAAACTATACATTTAATATACTGTTAGTCAAAAACCTTTCTAGATTTATAGAGTCTTCTAAAATTATTCCAAAGAGGAAAACATTAATAAGAATATTGAATGGGAAGCATGTCATTACACATTGCTGTAATATTCACTTAAAATAATTCAAAGGGACAAAGAAGAAGGAATGTTGTCATAAAATTCAATGCTTATTCTACAAAATTAAGAAAACTGAGGGAAGGGATTAGGGTGGGAAGAGTAGGGGAGAATAATAAGAGATAACATTGATCAAATTTCATAGTATTTATATACAACTTTGTTTAACTCCTCTGTACAAGTACTTAAAGATAAAAATAAAACTTTTTAAGATAAAAAAGAAATAATCTATTGATAAACTTAATATAGTTTAATCTGGGCACTGGTGGCTCAATTTGTAATCCTAGGTATTCAGGAGGCTGAGATCTTAAGATCATGATTCAAAGTCTGCCCAGATTAAGAAACTTGGTGAGACTCTTATCACCAATGAACTACTCAAAAAAGCCAGAAGTAGCACTCAGGCTCAAGTGGTAGAGCATTTACCTTGAGAGAAAAGAAGTTCAGGGACAATGCCTAGGCACAAGTTCAAGCCCAAGGACAGGCAAAAAAAATTAACATAGTTTAGAAAGAGATGTGTAAACATTAGAATGTTACCATAATGAACACAGCATATCAGACAAATGAAGAACTATTTTTAATGTCAAAAATGCTTCCAGGCCAGCAAGAAAATGATTATTATGATAGTAACAAAACAAATATCCCTATTGAAAACATCTTAAACCAAAAAAGTCAATATTCTCACCATAAAAAATATTAAGGTAATGGGTATGTGAATTAGCTCTATAAACACCTGTACTATTTGAAATCAGAATGCAAGCATCATACTATGTACTGATTCAGGGATTAATTCATAAAATGTATAAGAAATATATTTTAAAATAAAGGTAAATTAGAAATTCTTACTATTCACACTATATAATGATACTGTGAAGATGACTAAGAGCCTGGGATCAGTGGTTCACTTCAGTATACCTAGCTACTCAGGAAGCTGAGGTGTGAGGATGGAGGCTCAAAGCCAGTCCAGGTAGGAAAGTCCTTGAGATTCTTTTCTCCAATTAATTAACAAAAATAATGGAAGAGAGCAATGGCTAACGTCATAGAGCACTAGCCTTGAACAATAAAGCTTAGGAATGGTGCCTATGACCTGAGTACAAGCCCCAGAGCTGCTGAAATAAAGAAATCTTTGTGAACCGTATAAAAATAATCGGTATAACAAGTATCTACAAGAATGTGCATCGTGTTCAATATGGTTTTCTAATTCTTGTTGATACTTCGCCCCTAAGCCTTCTCATGGAATTTTTCATCTCCGAATTTCTCAAGGTATAGATCAAAGGATTCAGCATGGGGGTGACAATGGTGTAGAAAACAGTCAAGGACTTATCAATGGGAAAGTTGGAAACAGGTCTGACATACATAAAGATGCAGGGAACAAAAAACAGGACAACCACCGTGATATGGGAGCCACAGGTGGACAGGGCTTTGCGCCTCCCCTCCTGACTGTGAGTCTGAAGATTGTTCAGGATGATGCCATAGGAGATGAGGAGAAGAATGAAGACCACAGTACACATGGCACCAGCATTGGCAACCACAGTGAGGCCTACAACATAGGTGTCGGTGCACGCAAGTTCCAGTAATGGGAACATGTCACAGATGAAGTGGTCAATGACATTGGGGCCACAGAAAGGAAGATTGTACACAACGATGAACTGAAAGGCAGAGTGTCCAAATCCTCCAACCCAGGCCACCACCAACAGGATTCTACAAACCCTTCTATTCATGATGATCAAATAGTGCAGTGGCTTACAGATGGCCACATAAGGGTCATAGGCCATCGCCACCAGAAGGAACACCTCAGCACCACCAGATAAATGCACAATAAAGAGATGGACCATGCAAGCTTGGAAGGAAATCGTCTTTACTTCACAGAGTAAGTCCATGATCAATTTGGGCAAGACTGCAGTGGCATACACAGCATCCATGAGTGACAGGCAAGCAAGGAAGAAGTACATCGGGGAGCCCAAGGAGGGGCTGGCAGTAATGGTCGTCACGATGAGCAGGTTGCCCACCATTGTCACAATGTAGATGAGTAAAAACAAGATGAATAATACTTTTTGTACATCAGGATCCTGAGTGAGGCCCAGCAGGACAAATTCTGTGACATTGTTCCTCTCTGTCATCATTTACTCCTCTAGAAGGCTGGCTTTAGAGATTATAAGTCATCACAATAGGACTTTTCAGGAAATTCTGAACAGGACTAGGACCCTGTGCATAAGAAGGACAGCATCTTTGAGTCTACCACATAGGGAACACACAGCAAATATTTAGTTCACATCTGCTGAGTTCCTCTTCCAAGGAGCATAGCAACTCTTCTTAGGGACAATTCTATTTCCTCTTGGATTACCTGGTTATGCTACAGGCATAGGCTTCTATCCCAAAGTCAGTAGTGCTATAGAGAGAAGAATAGAAAAAGGTGTGTTTGTAATTTATATATATATATATATACACATATATATGTATATATATAAATATATGTATATATATGTGTATATATATATATATATACACATATATATGTATATATATAAATATATGTATATATATGTATATATACATATATACGTATGTATATATATACATATATACGTATATATACATGTATTTATATATATATATATATATATATATATATATATATATATATACAGAGAGAGAGAGAGAGAGAGAGAGAGAGTCGATCATGGGGCTTGAATTCTGGGCTTGGGCGCTGTCCCTGAGCTCTTCAGCTCAAGGCGAGTGCTTGAGCCACAGCATCACTTCTGGTTTTCTAATGGTTTATTGGAGATAAGAATCTCAGGGACTTTCCTGCCAGGGCTAGCTCTGAACCGTGATCCTCATAACTCAGCCTCCAGAGTAGCTAGGATTACAGACATGAGCCACCGGTGCCAGGCTTGTCATTTATATATTTAAAACTACGTATATAAAAGAAGTTACCACTTGACATAGATCTCAGCAAATATGCAGGGAAAAAATTCTCCTTATATGAAACCTATAATAGAAGAGTGCCAATAATTTTGCACTATATAACTAACATGAATTCAGTCCTTCATCTTACTATATTTGTGGAGTGTAACTTTATAACATGATCCATGTAGCACCAAATTTCTCACCTGTCCTGGAATACCAATTTCAATGCTATAAATGGCTCTATTGGAAGTTTCAAAGTATATCTAGTATTTGGGTCATGCTAGTATCAGAACATAAGGCCTAATGATTGCTAGGCAAGTGCTCTATCACTTGAGCCACGCCTCCAAAGCTCATATCAGTATTAATAAGAGTAATTAAATCTCAGGAAATTTACTCTGAACTGTATCAAAAAAACTCAAAAATTAGTTAGCTCACTGATAGCTATAACCACTACTAAATAAGATCTTGATTGTCAGTTTTATCAAGAGCTATAATTCTGTCCATTTCATTCTAGCTTATAACAATTCATAACATAATTACTTACATTCCCCGTTGGGATTTACAGCAATATTTTTAACTAACCTATTTTAGCAAACATTTAAAACTAACTCATTTCTCTCATCTAAGTTTCTACGTATTTTACTCGGTACTTTGAAAGCTCAAGGTAGACCTTCAGTTTCAAGATTCAAAAAATATCAGTATATTAAAGGAAAAGCACACACACACACACACACACACACACACACACACACACCAGTTAGAAAGCCTGGGTCTGAGTCATTTCTAAGTATAATTACAAAGTAGTCCCATTACACACATTGTAAAATATAAGGTTACAAGAGACGAATTCAGAGTCCGTTAACATCCTACTACCTACATCATTATAAGAGGAACCCTACCTTTTTGTATGTTGACTTCTTCTTTTTATAAGTACCTAATCAAATAACAATCTCCTAGTGATTTATTGTTTCCTGCCTGAAAAATGTTCAGTGATAAATGGGATGTAATATATACTGTAAGCCATGAATTTCTGTCAGGATTAATTCAGAGTGTAACTAGAAAAGATGCAAAAGAGTGTGGCCAATGTTGAGCAATATGGACTCTGAAACTTCATGGCTTGTGTTGCAATCCAAGGTTCACTCATTTGCTATCAATATGGCCTTAGACAACATAACTGCCTGGTGCCTGGCTTTTCCTTTTTGCATGTGGACACCCATAATATTCACAGCTCCGTGGGTTATTATACTCTTGTTAAGATACAGAGTTAAAAAAGCACTGTTCAGGACCATATGAGCTCTAAATAAATGATATTTGTTTTTAATATTTTGACTGCTTCCCAATGAACATGTAGACAATAAATCATGAAGATCATTGTCAATGCAATGAGAACTATAGAAAATTTATGCAAAGTCTAGCATGTAAAGAAAGTATATCTATAAGTCATGAATGCCCTTTTAGACAGACATAGAATAAATTTTATGTCCTAGTAATTACCTATTTTACCATATATCAGCACAATAGTAATATATTCCTATGAAAATATGTATTTTGACTAAAAGCAACTAAAAAAATGACTTTTGCTGGAACTCTATGGTAGAGAATATGTGCATAAAGTAATATATATTTTAGTTGTTTGTTTGCTTACATATAATGTATGTTACATATTGTATGTACGAAATAAATACAACATATATATCATAAATAAATATACTAATATTATATATTAAACTGCAAATAAAAATATTAATATTATATATCAATAAGATAATACATTAATATTATATGCTAGTCATATATAACTATATCATATATAACTATATAATATATACTATATATGATGTACATATAATATGTGATCTATATCATATTATATATGATATACTTATATATCATGAATCACTCATTATTTCTCAAAGATAAAGTCCTATAAAGTGTCAAGAGAAAAAAACATTTGTATGTTCGAGTTAATTTCTGTGTTTTGGTAGCTTTTTTTATTTAGATGCGCGTAATGACAATTAGTGATATTCAAACCATTGGTAGTATTTCAATGTAGCTAGAAATTTTCACCTGGTATCCATTGCATTTGCTATGAGCACACGTCCTGGTTCTTGTTCTGGTCTGGACATGAACGCTGCTTTCACTCAGGACAGCTCAGCATCTTAGGGAGTTGTGTGCTCACAGAACTCAGGATAGCGTGAGGGTGATGAGAGGATTGACAAATGGCTCCAAATGTCCACTGTTCCTGTTTCTCCACAAAGGATTCCCTCATCTGTCTTTCAGAGAAAAACCTCAGTGAACACCTCAGATATAAAAGCTTTTACATTTCAACATTTATGGTATAGACACCTGAAGATTCTCGCGCATTGGAAAACTCTTCATGGAAAACACTTTTATATTTCTGTGACTAAAAAGGACATGGATTTTGTTCTTAGTTGTGCTAACGCAAGAAAAATATCTTCTGTTTTCCAACATTTACGGGTTAAGACAAAGGCTAGTATCCAACTCATTGTAAAAACTGATGATGGCTGCTTATCTTAAGTTAAAGTAAAACTTGTCAATCCTTTAGTCATTCAAATAACACCTCCCAAGTAAGGTCTCTTACTTCCTAAATAAAAACATGACCCAATATCTCCATAATCCCATTCCAAAAAATAAAAACCTCTATAAACAAACCCATTCATAAGAAACAGTATAGTACATACAAAAAGAAACAACATTTCTGGACAAGCAACCAATTGAGACCTACTCAAGCCTGGGTAAAATCTTAATTTTTTTAAAAAACTGAACTGTCATTCTAACAGGAAAATAACTCTTCCCTTTATTACCTGCAGGCTAGGAATTTTACATGATTGCTATTATTAACGAGAAATACGGTAAGGTCATTATAGATTTGTTTATTTGATATTTGGAACAAAATCAAATGAATTCATCTCTCTGGGGTAAATTTCTACCCTTGAACAAGCCCTAGAGAGAAAACACTTGGCTCCTACTGAGAGAGAGTAACGAACTGAAAATTCCATATGAAAAGCATATAGTGTAAGAATGGAAGTCTCCACTGCCTTTATTAATTATGTATGGCTTTCACATTATGAAATAAATAAGGAAGGAAATATTCAATCGAGCCTGAAAATATTGAATCCAACCCTAATCACATCCACTGTGAGAAAGACGCTGCCCAAGAAGCTCTGGGGTTCAGTGGCACAGTGCTTTTCATTCGAATGAAACAGGAAAATACTTTAGTATAAAAGGATCCTGATACCTTTAGTGTGACCTTGTTTGTGTTCCATTGGATAGATGCCCAGAAATAGGACTGCTGGGTCACAGGGAAGCTCTATGTTAACTCTTTTGAGGAACATCCATACTGCTTTCCAAAGTGGTTAAACAAATGCACATTCCTACCAACAGCGTAGTAGTATTCCCTTTTAGCCACATCCTCTCCAGACTTTGTTCTAGTTCATTTTCTTGATAATGGCCAGTCAGACTGGGGTAAGGTAGAATCTCAGTGTTATTTTGATTTGTATTTCTTTTATGACCAGAGGGGTTGAACCTTTCCTCATGTCTGGTGACCACTCTTACTTCTTCCTCTGAAAAGTCTCTCTTTAAGCCTTTAGCCAATTTATCAATGTTGAGCTTTTGAGGGGTTTTTCCAGAGGAGGGGTTAATTTTTAGAGCTGAAGGATATTTTAGATAGGTGGCCCTTGTCTGATCCATAGCTGGTAAAAAGCTTCTCCTACTCTGTGGGGTTTCTACCTATCTTGTTAGCTATTTCCTGAGAATATGCTTCTTTAGCTGAAGAATATTTTATCATTTAAATGAATATATATATATATATATATATATATATATATATGCTTTCCCCCATTCTTCTGTTAATTAGCATGACAGTTGCTTTCATACTTTGGCCATTTTGGTTAATATTGTAACTGATGGAGGTGCTCCTGTATTTTTCAAGGTATTGATGTTTTTCTCCTTTCATATGCCCATAGAGGATGAGTGCTTTTGACTAGTTTCTGGAGATGGACATTTCAATATATTGAATGAATGACATCTAATGATGTGAAATGAATTATGTTTCACCAAGTCACAACCACTAATGCGATCAATATTATTGAGGTGTAACTGTAACCCTTCCGTATATCACCTTGACAATAAAATTTAAATTAAAAAAATTAGACTTGGGAACCAATGCAACAGTGCTATACACAAGACAATATGT